ATATATATATATATATATATATATATATATATATATATATATATATATATATAATGACAGCCTTGAGCCAGGGAGACAGGTGAGAGGCACTGCCTAACCCTCAAACATCTCAGGGGATCTTGTGCACACTCAGGTGACGCCTCTCTCTCTCTCTCTCTCTCTCTCCTCTCTCTCTCTCTCTCTCTCTCTCTCTCTCTCTTCTCTCTCTCTCTCTCTCTCTCTCTCTCTCTCTCTCTCTCTCTCTCTCACTCTCTCTCTCTCTCTCTCACTCTCTCTCTTAATATATGTAGTGAATATTGCGGTGAAAATATTGTGTCATAATAAGTCTTATCATTATAATATTATGGTGACCTGATGCCATGGTCAATCTTTGCACTCTTGGCACTAATGAATTTATATTAGTCGTCTTGACCTCGCGAGTTCCCTTATAATGACAGTGTCTCCAAAACTAAAGCATGTAACCACTTATGACACAATCATTGATGACACAACCATTGATGACACAACCACTGATGACACAACCACTGAGGACACAACCATTGATGACACAACCATTGATGACACAACCTCTGATGACACAACCATTGATGACACAACCATTGATGACACAACCACTGATGACACAACCATTGATTACACAACCTCTGATGACACAACCACTGATGACACAACCATTGATGACACAACTATTGAGGACACAACCATTGATGACACAACCATTGATGACACAACCTCTGATGACACAACCATTGATGACACAACCATTGATGACACAACTATTGAGGACACAACCAATGATGACACAACCACGACATCACAACTACTGATGACACAACCAATAACAACACAACCATTGACAACCAATAACAACACAACCATTGACAACACAACCACTAACAACCACTGGTCAGTAGCGACCCCATCCACTGTCATAAAAACATAACTTTCTCAGAAATAATTCAAGGTCCACTCAACTTTAAGGTGAAGCTGGCCTCGCTCCTTCAGTGACTTTTAAAGCAAATGATAAATAAAAGATATCATAGACATGCTGCACCTCTAGGACCTAAATACGGGAAGCATACATTAATTGGGGACCAAGAGAGAAGCCACCTGAGGGAACAAGGTCATTGCTGGTGAGTTTCTTGATGCCATGTTATCCTGTTATCATTATTTTTTTTTGTATTTTGACTTCTTTATATTTATTTGTTGTTGCTTGATTACGGAAGGTTATCTTAAACGACGGAACGTGCAAACTTTCAACTTGACTTTCTTAGTATGATCGAGATTTCTATCTTGCCCTGCCCCCCCCCCCTTCCTTCTCTCTCTCTCTCTTGATGCTTTCTATCCTTCTCTCAGTCACTCCCTTCTTTCCTTTCTTCCTTCTCGCCCTCTCTGCAACCCTTGCTCATATCCTCCCTTCTCATTTTCCTATCTCTATCCCTTCTCCTATTACTTTCGCCCCTTCCTGCCTTTCTTCTATTCCCTCACACTTTTCATCCCTATCTCCGTTCCTACCTTCTTTCCCTCCATTCTTCCCTTGCTTTCTTCTATTCGATCCTTCCTGTTATCCAGTATTGCCTTATCTCCATTCGTTTCTTCTCTCACTTTCTGTCTTCTCTCCCTCTCTCTCTATCCCTGTATTCTATTCCTCAGTTGATAAGTCTGACCAATTATTTAATTTTAATTTCAATTATTTGTGTAAATATGGTTATATTTTTCTTTTTCTAATTATAATGTATTTTTTCCTAATATTAATGTTGAAGTAATTATCAAGCGACAATGTTTATGTTTTATTGTTTTAATTGAACGTCGCAACGTTATGCAGTGAAAGAATTATAAAAAACACGAAATGTTTGACAAGAAAATGCAGTATAATGTTATTGAGCAAGAAACTGCATGTCAAGAGTATGTAGGTAAAGAAAATACATGCTTAGAAAATTCAGGTAAAGAAAATATATGTTAAGAAAATGCATAGAAAACATGTTGATTAAATAAACGTTTAGAAAATTCAAATAAAACATATAGGTTAAAAAAAATACATGTTTTGAAAAAAATCCTAAGAATATGAATATATAAAATTCATCTTTGTGAAGCAAATGTTTTTTCCTTTTTTTTCATTCGGTCTACAAATATGAGAGACTCATATATCTCTAGCGCATGAACAGCTAATCCGATTTGATTGAAAATTAGGTCATTCCTTTACCACAACACCTGTAGATGGTGCAACAATCTTCAGGAGAAACGAATAGGTTGTTTTCCCAAGATCCAATTTGCTTTTTTTTTTTTTGTATTTCTGAAATGTAAAAACATTTCTTTCTATTTAACGATAGTGATTCAATGTAGGATACCTTCATACCTCGGATGTTTCAGTACGGGTGTTTGGTGTATTTATTAAGTTTTTTCTTTTTCGTTCTGTCCAAGTAATTGGAAATTGTCATTTTAAACAGATTATGAGACTTCATGGGACGTTCATGTGATATTTTTGTACCACAACTTTGTGCCACAAGAAGAGTCGGATTATTAATTAATTCTCGACCATAAAAGATGATATGTTCAGAATTTGCAAGGAACATCAGCTACTTTATTTTCAATTGAAAACGTTTCGATTTTTGTTCTGAATTAAAAAGGGAGAGAGAGAGAGAGAGAGAGAGAGGGGGGGGGGAAGGAGAGTGAAACGTGGGAGGAATAAGATATGTAGGCGATCGTGGGAAGAATAAGGAATGTAGGTGACAGTGGGTAGAAAAGAGAAGATGTTCAAGGGCATGACACAGTGGCCCAGACGGGTATAAATACTGGCAGGGAGGTAGAATTTTGGCACCAGTGTTTGAGTAGACTTCCTCAGACCCTCACACACCACCGTCCACAAGGCTCTCATCCTCATCATGAAGGTATACTGAAGGTCTCGCTTAGGCAAAAACAGTACAAATTCCGTGCACCTGCCGAGTTGCGTTGAGGGATCATTAGACTATTGTGGTTTGCTTGTCTGTATGTGGTGAGGAGGAATTCGTTCAGTGAAACCACGCTGAAAGGATAGTTAGAGATCGATGGTGTCATGCAGGGAGTTACGTGTGGCATAGGTACTTATGCTGGAGAAAGAATTGAAATGTCAGAGGTGTCATGCAGGAGGGTAATACAAGTGTCAGAGGCGTCATGCAGAAGGGTAATACAAGTGTCATGAAGGAGGGTAATGCAAGTGTCAGAGGTGTCATGCAGGAGGGTAATACAAGTGTCATGCAGGAGGGTAATGCAAGTGTCAGAGGTGTCATGCAGGAGGGTAATGCAAGTGTCATGCAGGAGAGTAATGCAAGTGTCAGAGGTGTCAGCAGGAGGGTAATGCAAGTGTCAGAGGTGTCATGCAGGAGGGTAATGCAAGTGTCATGCAGGAGAGTAATACAAGTGTCATATTATTTAAGATACTATCCACAATTGCATGGATAATACCACATTCCCTTCCTCTAAGATGAAGTGAATGATATGATATTTCCTGTAATGTCCGTTCCATATAGCACTCAATCCACTCACTTATCCATACCAAATACTAGGCAATCATATTTGCTTGGATAAATGGGTGAACTGCATCCCCCTCTGCCAAGAATAAATGGGGGTGGATTGCATCATATACTACATGAATGAATGGGTGGACTGGATCCTAATTGGAATAGATGATTGGGTGGACTGGATCCTAATTGGAATAGATGATTGGGTGGACTGGATCCTAATTGGAATAGATGATTAAGTGAACTGGATCCTAATTGGAATAGATGATTGGGTGGACTGGAGTCTATTTAGAATCGCTGATTTGCAGCCGGAAAAGATCGTGGTGCTCCAGGAAACGATGGAAAATAGATTAAATTGTTGTCATCATATTTATGGGATCGTTTCTTATTGCAAGAATCTTAAACTGGTTGTTAGAGTGGCGACCACGTTCCTTACGTGTCTTAATGCAAAACTTGAGTGTAAGATGAATTCAAGAGGCTAGTAACTAGGTGAGGAAGATCAACTGACGTTCGTGGGTCAAGTTGAAAGTGATTAGTTAACGAAAAATAAACAACTTTTTTTATAAAACAAAATAGGGGTATTTCATAAAATTAAATCAAGAGTTGTTTATTCCATCTACAGTAAATAGGTCTCCCGTTTCGTCTTTTCTGACCCCCTGTTATCTTTTATCTTCAGACGTGTCTGGCAGTACTCTTGTTTGGTGTGGCAGTCAGTGCCGGGCCCCAGAACTACAACTACCAGCCACCCCCACAGCCAATTGTACCTATTTACGAGCCTCCCCATCCAACCATCGTACCTATTTACGAGCCTCCCCATCCAACCATCGTACCTATTTACGAGCCTCCCCAGCCAACCATCGTACCTATTTACGAGCCTCCCCATCCAACCATCGCTCCTATTTACGAACCTCCTCATCCAACCATCGTACCTACTTACCAACCTCCCCATCCAACTATCGCTCGACTCTATACACCTCCAAAACCAACGTCCGCCCCAACAACTACCACAACTTCGGGCTACAACTACGACACTCCCACTACCAAGAGTGCCCGGGTGAGTACCAGTACCTTTGGTTGTTGCTGGTAGTGGTGGTGCTCCTGGCAAGGTTAGGAAAGTATATGGAGAAAGAACTAAGCTAGTATAACTATGTAGCATTTAGAAGGGGATATGAGGACCATGAGCTGAATATGTGGGAATGTATAAAGGGAATGGCACTCAACTTCTTGGACCACTGAGCATCGAACGCCAACCCTGCAAGTAGCAAGGTCGTGGTGGTGTTGCCGGTGCTGGTATACAAATGTGGTAAACATTTGTATACCACTATCACAATCTACCTTCACTATCTTCACTGCTCCAAACACAGTGTTTGGAGCAGTGAAGTAGACTATTATTAATATAAAATTAAATTAAGTCTTAAGCATGAGAGAGATGAAGAACGCTGTTCACATTCTTCTCACCTTGCACCTACAGAACGAGGAATGGCCGTACAACTTCAAGTGGGGCGTCCAGGACAGTTACAGTGGAAATGACTTCGGCCAAATGGTGAACAGCGATGGACGCACTACCCAGGGGGAGTACCGCGTCCTACTGCCCGACGGACGCACTCAGGTGAGCACAACGGCCTAATATCAAACGGAACTTTTAATCCTGAGATTGTGGGTTATTTTAGAGTCACTACAATAAGAAATATGTTGACCAGACCACACACTAGAAGGTGAAGGGACGAGGACGTTTCAGTCCGTCCTGGACCATTCTCAAGTCGATTGTTCCTCGACTTTGGAACTTGATTGTCACCTCAAGACAATCGACTTGAGAATGGTCCAGGACGGACCGAAACGTCGTCGTCCCTTCACCTTCTAGTGTGTGGTCTGGTTAACATACTTTAGCCACGTTATTGTGACTCATCGCCTGCAATAAGAAATATCTAAAAAATTGGGTAAGAAATTTAAGTTTAACAGATGCTACATAATTTTCACTGCATATATATATTTTATATTAATTAATTTTGAAAATCAATATTGAAACTTGATATTTTGATCAATAATGTCTCAAGGACCAAAATACTTGGAATTAACGACTCTATATTATTAGTTATAAGTCAGATGGTTCTAATTTGTTTATTTTTCTATCAAAAATAAATTATCTCTGTTTTTATATATCAGTTGACGTTTATCGCAGTTTAAGGGTTAAAGGTGTTCCCTGTATTGATACCTGATGGTCTCATTTAAGTGAATACTTTCTCTTGTTGTACTTTCAATTCCTGCTTTTATTACCGTAATCATGATTTTTCTTTTCATTCTATCTCCTTCATTTTCATCCAAAGTTGTCGTTGGATCACATCTAACAGTTTTCACTCTCTTTCAACAGGTCGTCAGATTTGTCGACAACGGCGACGGATACAACGCTGAGGTCATCTACGAGAATTAAACCGACCTGGTCTGGACCTGCCTGATTGTGATCTGGTCTGGACCTGCCTGATTGTGACCTGGTCTCGACCTGCCTGATTGTGACCTGGTCTCGACCTGTTTCATTGTGACCTGGTCTCGACCTGCCTGATTGTGACCTGGTCTCAACCTGCCTGATTGGGACCTGGTCTCGACCTGCCTGATTGTGACCTGGTCTCGACCTGCCTGATTGGGACCTGGTCTCGACCTACCTGATTGTGACCTGGTCTGGACCTGCCTGATTGTGACCTGGTCTCGACCGGCCTGATTGTGACCTGGTCTCGACCTGCCTGATTGTGATCTGGTCTCAACCTGCCTGATTGTGACCTGGTCTCGACCTGCCTGATTGTGACCTGGTCTCGACCTGCCTGATTGTGACCTGGTCTGGACCTGCCAGACTGCGACCGCTGATGATTCACGACATTGCTGATCACATAACAATTGATGTTGTATATTTATGTATTTATCGAACTTGGTCTTCTTTGATTGGCCTTTAATACCAATAATACCAAAGTAAAGAACACGAAAACAATTATCTCCTTTTCTTTATTTTTCTATGACTCCTCGTTTGGTAAAAATGTACTTTTCTTTAAATTAGAAATTATGCAAAATTACCTACAAAATTCTTAAATATTAAACATATATTAAATCAAATTAATTATGACAAGTATAACATAGGGACATGAGTAACTATATTTTATTCTTGAAGTTGAAACACTTGAATAAACTATGAGAAATGAGGAGCGAGCAATGAATGGTATTTCACGGCCTCATGGAGAGAGTTAAACTCATACAGAAGGTGAGGTGGAATTATGAGAAATACAAATAAAATCAATTTATGTATGAAAGAGCTTGGACATATAACTAGCAAGAAATGAACAACTTCCAGCAGATGAAAGATCTTCAGTGCACGAAGGAAGAAGCAATATATGAAAGAAGTACCAAGATATGAAAGAACTACCAAGATATGAAAGAACTACCAAGATATGAAAGAACTACCAAGATATGAAAGAACTACCCAGATATGGAAAAGAACTACCAAGATATAAAAGAACTACCCAGATATGGAAAAGAAGTACCAAGATATGAAAGAACTGCCAAGATATGAAAGAACTACGATCAGATAAAAGAACTACAAAAATATGTCACATCTAACAGTAGATAAAAAACTACCAGTAGATAAATAAATATACTTTCACTGGGCACGGATGTATGATGATTTAAATGATAAAAATAAAACGATTATGAATTAAATTCTTGAAAAAAGCTGGTCATACTACGAGATAAAAATTATCTAAGCGCTCCAAGACACCTGAGAGTATTTTTACTCATTCATTGAGAAACGTTTGACATTGTACAAACACTAATGAGTTGAAGAATGTTCGATGGTGGTAATCTAGGCCTAGTATAGGCTTAGCAATAAATTGGCAGCTATATACCGGATACCATCACTATGACTCACAAACAATCTTTTTACTCATATCCTCATCAACTCTCTTCACTGTCATCCCAAAAAACTTCCTCCTCTCCCTCTCTCTTCCTCACAATATTCCCCCTCCCCCGCCCCCTGACAGCCTCTGGCCGGAGGGAAGGGTGAGGGAAGGCTGTCACACTCAGGAAGCGGCTAAATGTACCAGCCAGCTGATAGAGCGGAAAAGAGCAGTAGTAATAGTAGGCATTAGGGAGCAAACAGGGATCAATCCAGTGGAAAGAAGAGACAAGAACAAAAATGAAGTTAATGAGATCCTTAAAGGGGTAAAGATGGAGAGGGCTGACCAAAACATTGAAAAAGTTTTCAGGATCGGACGATACAACAAGGAAAGAGACCAACGGATAAAGGTGGTATTCACAAGTGACAGAACAAAAGAGGAATTGTTAGCAAGGAAGAGCAGACTAGAAAATGTACAGAAGTTAACAAATGTATTCCTGCAGAGGGATATGACAAGGGACGAGAGAATGAGGGCAGCAGCCGCGAGGAGGGAGCGCAGGGAAAGAGAAAGGCCTCAGGGAGCCACAACCCCAAACCCTACAATCCCAAGGGGAACAGAGAACCCTCCACAAGCAGATCAACAGACACAGTGAGAGAAGCACCTCCTCCATCCTCCACCCAATAAATGCCCTACCTGCCCCAACATCACAAGTGGAGTCCCGCAGGGGTCAGTTCTTGGACCTATACTGTTTCTGATATATGTAAATGATCTTCCAGAGGGTATAGACTCGTTTCTCTCAATGTTTGCTGATGATGCAAAAATTATGAGGAGGATTGAAACAGAGAAGGATAGCAGGAGGCTACAAGATGACCTAGACAGACTGAATAAATGATCCAACAAATGGCTACTAATGTTCAATCCGAGTAAATGCAAAGTAATGAAATTAGGCGGTGGAAACAGGAGGCCAGACACAGGATACAGAATAGGAGATGAAGTACTTCATGAAACGAACAGAGAGAAAGATCTAAAGGGTAATATCACTCCAAACCTGTCTCCTAAAGCCCACATAAAAAGAATTACGTCTGCGGCATATGCGAGACTGGCTAACATCAGAATAGCATTCAGGAACCTGTGTAAGGAATCATTCAGAATCTTGTATACCACATATGTAAGACCAATCCTGGAGTATGCGGCCCCAGCATGGAGCCCGTACCTTGTCAAGCACAAGACGAAGCTGGAAAAAGTTCCGAGGTATGCCACTAGACTAGTCCTAGAACTAAGAGGTATAAGTTACGAGGAAAGGCTGCGGGAAATGCACCTTACGACACTGCATGACAGAAGAGTAAGGGAAGACATGATCACTACCTACAAAATCCTCAGCGGTATTGACAGGACGAACAAGGGAACACAGGTGGAAACTGAGTACCCAAATGAGCCACAGGGACGTAAGAAAGAACTTTTTCGGTGTCAGAGTAGTTAACAGGTGGAATGCATTAGGCAGTGATGTGGTGGAGGCTGACTCCATACACAGTTTTAAATGTAGATATGATAGAGCCCAGTAGGCTCAGGAATCTGTACATCAGTTGATTGACGGTTGAGAGGCGGGACCAAAGAGCCAAAGCTCAACCCCCGCAAGCACAATTAGGTGAGTATAAATAGGTGAGAACACTCATGATTAGAGTTTATACGTGATGTGGGTTCTGGGAGTTCTACTACCTAATCCCGGCCGGGGCCAGGCTTGACTTGTGATAACTTGGTCCAACAGGTTGTTGCTTGGAGCGGCCTGCAGGCCCACATATCCACTAAAGTACGTCCGGCACTGCATGGAGGAACGTGCCTAATTTTCACTTGAACACGTCCACCCTTGTGTCAGATGCTACCTATCTTACTGAGATGATAGTAGTTATAGTGACTATTTGGAGAAAAGTTCTAATATGTAGTGATGAAACGCCAGTAAACCAATTTTAGTACTATTAATTGTATTTTCCGGAAAAATATAAAGCTAAAATCCAAATAAATATCCCCTAGGCCTAGTATAGCACAAATATGTACTATATTAGGTCTAAGATAGCATGTATTAGGCCTAACATTACTAAGAGAGGTTAGATTAGGCCTTATATTTATGATGTGGTTCAAAATGCTTCCGGTTTGTCCAAAATCAATAATTCAAAGGTCAACTCATTGGTGGTCCATCACAACATGTTGGTACTTTCTACCAAATGGTTACTATATTTTAAGCGGCTGGGCTGACCAGATCAGCCATTCACACATTGTAGAGTCCTAAAATAACACCAGATGACCACGTCCAGTTAACCATTAGCAAAGTATTCAGAGTTTGCTAACTCTAGTGAGCACCAACCATTAACACTCTCCTCTTGATGTGTGTGAGAGCGAATGACAGAAAAATGTAATTTGAATGTAACTTGTTTAACACAAAGGTAAATTACTTAACCAAAGAAAAAACAATAAAAAGACCTTGTAGAGCAGTTCCGGAACCCATTATGTGAGCTTCACAGTTCCACCACGTCTCACACTAAGAGCATGGGGGCCCATAACCAATGAAAATATGACTGCCGTCCAAATGAACCAATCTGAGGCTTCAGAAACTACACCGGCTCCCCACACACACACTAAGAGTAACCACACAGCACATATATATATTGCCTCAGTACGAACCCTGCAAAATGGACCACATTTCCTCCATTTATTGGTCATAAATCTCACACATTCACATGTAAGTCGATACGTGACCTTTCGGTCACCTGCATAGGCACCTTCATCTCCATAAACACCCAAGCAAACTCTACTGATTTCAAGAACTTCAAATTCTAGCCCATGACTGTCATAACCATTCAGCTCTCACTCATGAAGGTCACCACTATGAAGGGCGCTTATTATTATTCCTCCACCACCTTCTCCCTCGTCACTTGGTAACGTCAGACTACGTCCATCTGGTATGATTAATTGATCGCAGGTAATGATATCAAACAACGTTTACCGAGCAGATAATATACACGCTGTTCAGAGTGCAAGAAGAGTGCAAAGAGTGCTCTTGCACCCTGTTGAGAGTGCAAGAAGAGTGCAAAGAGTGCTCTTGCACCCTGTTGAGAGTGCAAGAAGAGTGCAAAGAGTGCTCTTGCACCCTGTTGAGAGTGCAAGAAGAGTGCAAAGAGTGTTCTTGCACCCTGTTGAGAGTGCAAGAAGAGTGCAAAGCGTTTACCGAGCAGATAATATACACGCTGTTCAGAGTGCAAGAAGAGTGCAAAGAGTGCTCTTGCACCCTGATGAGGGTGCAAGAGAGGGCGAATCAGGGGATGAGAGGAAGATGATGCTGCCTGACGTCTGAAGAATAATAACAGGATGAGGAAAGAATGATGGAAGGGACACACCGAGAAAGATTATAGAGAAGAAGAGAGAGAGAGAGAGAGAGAGAGAGAGAGAGAGGAAGGATGAGCGGGGAGGCCATGGAAAAGGAGTGGGATGGGAATGGGTCGAGAAGTGTGTGATTGTAAATCTGTTTAAAAGACTTTTTTAGGACTTGGCGTGTTTACTCCTACAAGAATGACTGTTACACTTTCACTCTCCACGACCTCTTCCCTCCCTCACTCCCTCCCCCCCCTTCCTCACTCCCTCCCTCCCTCCAAGTCTCACTCCCTCCCTCCCTCCCTCCCTCCCTCCCCCCTCCCTCCCCCCTCCCTCCCTCCCTCCTTCCCTCCCTCCAAGTCTCACTTCATCCCCCCCTCCCTCCCCCCCCCCTCCCCCTCCAAGTCTCACTCCATCCCTCCCTCCCTCTCTCCCCTCCCTTCTCTTAGAACTCCCTCTCTCCCTGCCTCTTCTCCATTAAAACAAGACAGAAATGTTTGGGGGAAAACCATTAAACTAAGAGATATATGTTTAAGAAAATCATTAAACCATCAAAAAATTCAAGAACACCATTAAACCAAGATAGAAATGTTTAGGACAACCATTAAACCAAGGGAAGGGAAGGGAACTATCAGGAGAAAAGCCAAACCATTACGACTATTATAGCACTTGGACTGGTGCCCATCCACTTGGGGACGGTCGGGGATCGAACGCCGACCTGCATGTAGTCATTCTTTGA